CAGACAACATGACTGCACTACAAACTCACTAAAAACACCTGAAACATACATCTGTACTCTGTGTTCTCACATTTTCTACTTCCTCTACAAAGCAAATCACTTAACAAGCAAAACTACATGACTAGTTGGGGCAAGAATTTTACTTTCTGTTAAAAAATACTAACAGACATAAAGCAATATTACATCTTACTTGTGTCTTTCAGCCATGAAAAATTGTGCGCAGATGTAAGCAGAAAAGATGATGGGAACAAAGGAAAATGAGCAGATGATAATAAAGAGCAGTCTTAAGATAATGAATATATGAGAAAGATTCATGGATGACATTTGTAGGTTCTTTGTTATGACAATAAATATTTTAAACTCTTCACACCATCAAAGAACTTTGACATATGACAAAGTTGATCTTTATACAGCCTGGATATTTAAGACATGCTGAAAACTCAGATACATGATTTTTACAACTCAGACATATGTAAGACCCATATGTGCATCTAAATATACATACAGTCCAGTTAATGAATATCCTGATACTTGGGGCAGCCAGACTGTTCAAAAAACACACACGTTTTTCTCCAGATGGTCAGGTGCTAATTAAGCATGAAATAGTCCTCTGAAAATATAGTCCTGGCGTAGGTACTTTAGTCTTTCCTTATGCAGCAGTATCACACTAAAATTGTACACCATTCTGCCAAACACACATGCAATTTACATCTGCATCATAAGCTACACTAATGCATCACAGATTAAGAAAAACGTTTTGCGTTTTTACAGTTAGGCCAAGTAAACACTGGGCTTTAGATCCCCAGCTGATTTTGGCGAGATGTCAGCAAATACCTCTAGGAGAAATCTCCCTCAATAACCCAAATATGGAGAAACACATTTGTTCTCATGGAACACATATTGCCAAGACCAGCTTGGTCTTATTGCAAGTATAACAGTGAAAACCACACGTCATTGTCTTCAGGTGGATTTTTTCCATTCCATTTTAAATGCTATAATTTTTTAGATACTGTTTGTTGAGTTAGCATGATAATAATACAACTTTAACTGACTCCTATTTGATCTATTTGAAGTTTCCGCACTTTTTCTTATCGCAAAATGGCTCCATGCTACCAGTGAAACACTGAGTACCGATAACAAGTTCACAAATCCAAGGAAAAAATCCTAGTAGAGCCTATAATCCCCATGAATGTTGGACTCCATGCACCAAAAATGTCATACATAAAAAAATGATATGTTAAATTTACTTAAGTTATGTGTTACTGTATATATTTATTTTTAAAAACATGGATTAAGAAAAAAAAGACTTAAGATTTTATAACTTAAGATAAATTTAACAGTTAACATATCAATAAGAGTTCATTATTTAATTTTACTTCAGTTTTATTTATATTTTTGAGTTGCATTAACACTATTGAATTTCAGTGATGGAATTCAATATACTCATGTTGCAGTTAAACAATTAAGCTTAATGAAACCAGTTGACATAACTGAAACATATTTTTATTTCTTTACATTAATTAAGCAGATTTTAATAAATATAGCCAGCTAGAGTATTAATAACACTAATTTTAGTGCAGTGCAGTAGGTTAGAATTAATACAAACTTCAGAGTCTAATAGCAGAAAAAAACAAATTCTCATATAAAAAGCAATCATGGACAATATTAATTACTTTATACACCTATTAGGTGACATCATTATGTTGAAATCAATTCCTTTTCTTTAAGCGTTTTACGATTTCTTCTTGTTATTTGGTTACAATTTAACCTGCTTTTTTCAGCATGAAACCATTATTTATGATTGTATTCCAACCATAAAAAAAATTGAAATAGGCAAGCAGAATCTCTATTTTAGTTCTTAGAGTGTAGCTGTTGCTGGATAAAAATGTACTAAACTACATGTCTCACATATAGGATAAAATTCACATGCTTATAGTTAATATGATTTGTTTTGTTAACTGATATCATGATTGTGTTGATCATATTCCCTATAAATGATAAGTGTTCATTGTGCTTCATGGGGGAAGGAAATAATTTCTTCAATGTTAATGTAAATAAAGGCTAAAAAAGAACCTTATTAAGAGAACAACCAAAATTAATGAAAAGAAAGGCTTTAACCTACTGAAGACCTTTGGTATAGAGTCATTTCTAAATGTGCTATCATTTGCATTTTGTCTGATATAATACATTTCAGAGATTCATTCCCTAAAGGATAGCAATAACACAGAGCACACAAGTATTTCACAAAACCCCAAACTCACTTATCTGCAAACACTCCCACTTGTGGTAAAACATTATCCTGCCACAATTGAATACTCACTGCAGCTTATCAGCAGAATTAATTTTTGCCCAAGGTGGTCTTTATAAATTACAAGCCGCATTTATATCAATTATCTTATATCCAAGTTTGTTTCTGCACACATATTTCAAAGGATCGCACAGGCTTTAGTGATTTCACATGAGCAGACACAAACACACACACTTGTCTTTTGCAGATACTTTTCCACCATCTTGCATATGAATTGCTCTTATGTTAATAGGAATATGGAGGCATATCAAGGACAGTGGAAACTAGCGATGCATGTAATGCTGATAAGAATTCCTCTATACTTCTTCTCAGCACCTCGGAAGAATTATAAATGAACAAATTAAGCAAAGCTTCATATTTTTGAGAAGCTACACACAGGGCTTCTAAACCTGCTTAAAAATTATGGAATTTGGTATAGTTAGAATTTTCCAGGTGTGGATTGGAGACCCCAACATGGCTGAATAATATGTACATAAAAAATAAAATGATTATTATTATTACAATTATTATTATTGAGCTGGCTTTTAACAATTATTAAAAGCATTATTATCTTTATTGTGTTTGACATATTTTATTTTTTTATTCAGTAACCTAATAGGTTTCTGTTTGGCTATACATATTTTTTTTTAAAGATTTTATAAATAAGTTTAATAGCGTATGAGAAATGTTTCTGTTTATTCAGTATATAATACAGATGGCACAATAAATTGTTACAAAATGATTTGTGAAGGTTTTAGTGAAGCAAAATTTACCTTTATATTGTTAAAAAGTCCTCTTGATGCATCAAGACCACTCAGAGTTTTTTAGGAAAATGGACACTAATCACATTATCATCAGTAGATTGATAGGAAAAATCAACTTTACATTAATCAATCTATGGATGAAAAGAGTAAAACTGAAAATAAATAAATTATATTTAATAAAAATCTTGAGGAGCTACAATTTCTGGTTTTATCAATTATTTACATTGCCAGCATAATGCAGAGTTGTCCTGTATGACAAGTCTTGGTCGGTTATAAAGTATAATGCCACTGTAGTAATAGTAATTTGTCTGTAAATTTAGTTTAAAGATATACTTTTCAGTCAGGTCTACAAAAAGGAATATAAATTTATAGTTGGAAGCCAAATGATGAATGTAGAAACTGCTCACACTTGAGAACTTATTGTTTTAATTTCATCAAGTTTTGTCTCAGTAAAACAGACTACAAGGTTGTGTGTTTGCAAGCCCACATAAAATGAATTTACACTTAACAGACACCATAATTTATAAATTGTAAAGAGACCATTTACTAATGATTAACACATAGTTTATTAATATTTGATAATCATTTATAAACTACATCTTAACCATTTATAAGAGGTAAATAGATCACGTAATAAAGTATTAAGCCCACTGATGATAGGTTAAGGGTAAGACCAACATGACTAGGCAAACAGAAATAAAATTAAAATCTAGGTTCAGATCTTAAGTCCATTGATGTTAGGGTTAGAGATAACCTAAAATGGCAGTGGTAAAATTATTTATTTACCTATTACAAATGGTTTAGATGCATCTTACAAATGATTATTAAACATTTATTAATTTATTACTGATTAATGTTACACTTTAATAAATGGTCTCCTTTTATTGTTAAGTGTTAGCTGTGTTTATAAGTGTTTACAATAAAATAATCAAAGTTTACAATTTGAATAAAATTTGTAGAAATATTTGCAAACATATTCATAATCCAAGTACTTTTTTTGAAATTTTGTCAAGTTAAAACAATGAAAGAAATAGCAACTGTGTTTTTATAGTGGTTATCTTCTATAAAAGCCCAGATCAAAGTAGAGTATAATTATGAATTGATAAATTTTATACTTATTTTTCAACAACACAAATAACATTACACACCTCTCCCTGGCCTTTAGGCTAATAAGAAGATGTAGGCTAATAGGAAGAATGGTTTTCCTCACCTCAGGTTTTTTATGGTGTTTGGTTTTGCTCCTGATAAATAGTAAGTTTATCTAACTTACAATTTATCCGATTGGAAAGCAAACCTTACCTACATAACAGCTGAAAGTTTTTAGCCTACAATGTATTGAACAAGCTATTTTTTTTGCGATTGTAATTTTGCTTATTTTACATAATCAATCCTACTGTATGACCATTGAGTAGATATTGGTTCTATAAAGGTACCACCACCTTCTTGGTTTTTCATCCACTTCTAAATCCACTTCTAAATCATTAAGTGAGTGTCACTAGTCTTTCACACAAAGATTTTAATAAATGCACCTACCTTATTAATTATAGTTAAACAAAATGCAAAGAAATGTCCAAAGAGGATAAATACCTTTGTAAACAACTATATAAAAGTTGATGAATTTCTGTTTTTTATTTGTCTATATAGATATATATCTATTGAAATTTGTTCATTTAACTTGTGTGCAATATTTGCCAATTACAGGGATTTTTTACCAACTTTGAATTTGTGAAAAACCTTTTAATCTGTAAAAAAAAATCAAGTATTCACTTTTAACTGTAGAAGCATTTTTCACAGTTGTTTTTAAAATTCAGCAAACTGCACTTGGAGGCACTACAACGCTATACAAGCTGACATGCTGCCAAAATCTCAAGTATAATGGCTTTGAAAGTGTGAGCTAATGCCTCTGCTTTGACTTATTAATGTAAATGCCATTTTCACACTTCACTTACATGGCGTTGTCACCAAGCTCCTCATACAGGTTGTTGGCAGTGCCTCCCCCGGGTTTGCCTGTTGGCAGTGCCATCTGGATACGGGCTGTTTTGGCACACTCAGCTTGTCGCCTGGTCACAGCAGTAAAGAAAAAACGCACACTATGAAAAAATATTTAAAATCTAGAGCTAAACCCAATCATACAAAGTGGTATGATGTTTGAAAAATAGCCAGGAGAGATCTTTTCCTGTCAAGTTTTATTTATGGTACAAAACCTAATATCAGCATATATTTCGAGATCTTGTATACTACACTATCACAAAGCAAACTTTCCCTTTTGAGGTTGAAGGAAATCAATATGACTGACAAGAAAAAACAATGTTGAAAGAGAACCATAGGATCCTCCCTATAAGGCAGCTTCAAACCATATAGTGGGCACAGCAAAAATAAGGGAAGAAATGCTGTCAAAGAAACTGTGGGGGAAAAAAAAAAAAAACTCAAGCAGGTTGTAAAATATATAAGAGGGAACAAAAAAGGACATGAAGAATGCAGAAGGAGTTACTACTGCAATATTTCCATCTAATTACACTTAGGTGTGGGAATGGTACAGTCAAAAACCAGATTAGGGCTAAAACAATTAATCGGATTAATCGTGATTAATCGTGATTATTGAAATTATCATCAACTAAATTAGTTATCAATTAATCATTAACTAGAGTATAGAGACACTAAAACATGCCTTTAACTGACAGAGCGACCCACTTAGAACAGTAATTATATCAAAATTGTAAAAATAAAAAAATACAAACATTAGACAAAAAAACAAGAAGGAAAAAGAAAAAACGAAAAAAAAAAAGTTTAATCTATCAATATGCTCCATTCAGGTTCTCTCCATTTTAGGTTCTCCTGGTTTAACTTTGTAAAAACAAATATTCCTTAAAGAACCTTTGGCTATCCAATTATAAATAGATTAATCAAAAAAAAATAATCGACAGATTAAACAATTTGCAAGATAATTGTTAGCTGTAGACCTAGTTCAGATCTACTTCAATTAAGAGTCTGTAACGAGTTTTGTAATTAATATTGATGCTGCCACTGCTATTTGATTTCTGCTTCTACCCACACAAAACTTCAATAACCGGTACATATAATTCCACAAAAGACAGTTCAACAAATTGTTGACAAGCAGAATGCATATAAAAAGTTTTAGATTTGTATTTAGCATAAAGTTTGAAACCTTTTCATTCAACTTCACGGATATACACTGCTTTCTACATGTCTATTACCAAAATTCCTAATAAATGCACTGAAGTTTGTCATAGCAATATGAAAAAAATGGCTACATGGTATATGACTGAAATATCGCCCTATTGTTTTTGAGAGATTGTAATTTTCAATTTCTTGATAGTTATTATATTCATTTTCTAAATGTTTAAATATAATCTATAAAGCTAAACATAAAACCAAATACATGGATTATGTTCTTTGAATAAATACTGAAATTGCTAAATTAAATGGAAAGGACCAGCATCATTAGCAGGTTTTCAGTATCTCACAGAGATGGTTTTCCTCACCTCAGGTTTTTTACGGTGTTTGGTTTTGCTCCGTAATTTGGGCTAATAGTATCTTAGTCATCTTGCTTTGCAATTGTTACAATTGCTTTGGTTCCTGTGTTTTAATTTGTGCCTCCTCTTCATTTCTGAGAGATTTGAGTATTACATTATTAAATACTGCTGTTTAAATGCAGCTTTTTTTAAATTCACATTGTTTTTAATCATACATTTTTTCCCCCTTATAACTGGACCAAATGTTGTTTTGGTTCTTTCATGTCTCTTGCTGTGAAACATTTTTGTTAAAAAACAAAGGCCACAGGACTCTCATTGCTTTGGGACTTTTGTACAGCATGTCTGCTTTGTCATTTGTTGGTGAGTGACATTTTAAATAATTAGATCTCTCCATAAAGGGATTATCAGCTGACGTCATACACGAGAAGCTGTAATTTATAGTGAATAACTAAACACTAAGTGAATTGCCTTTTAGTCCTTTAGCAGGTGGTTTACAAACATCCAGCTTCAGCTAACTAAAAGTGTTCTTTAAATCCAAAAGTGTTGATCATTTTTGAGTTTGCAAAACTGTGTTGACTGTAATTAATTCTCTAGGTTGTGGCAGTTTAAAATATAAGATTAACCAAAACAGATTTATGGTAATACCAAACAGAGATAGCCCAATTGCAGTTGCTTCAACAGCTTGGAGAACATCCATCTAATCTATTCTTGCATGAAACCAAAAGATATTCTCTGTACTGTATACTGTACTCAGCAGCAAGGAGGAGGTACCAAATCTGTATTAGTTAAACCTACAAAAATGTATAAAAAACGTGTTAAAAATGTAATTGATGAATGGTTTGTATTTTTCATCTGGTGCTTATGCATCTTCCTCTTAAAGTTACCCTGAGAAACTGCACATATGGTCACTATCAAAAACTTCCAGTGACTTCTACAGCTGTGTATTCTCATTGAAATTGTTGGATGCACAGATGGATGGACGGATGGATGGACAGAGGATAGATGGTTGGATGGATGGAAGCACAGATGAATGGATGCACAGATGGATGGATGCAAGGATGGATGGATGCACAGATGGATGGATGCAAGGATGGATGGATGGACACACAGATGGATGGGTGGATGAAAAGATGGATGGATGGTTAAAAACACAGATAGATGGATGGGTGCAGGGGATGGATGATTGGTTGGATGAAAGCAAAGATGTATGGATGCACAAATGGATAGATGGAAGGATGCACAGATGGATGGATGGGTGGATGGATGGATGTATGAATAGATGGATGGATGAATAGATGGATGGGTTATTGGATAAATGAATGGGTGGATGGAGGATGGGTGGATGATGGAAACAGAAAACAGAAACTGAACTCAGTGTTCTTCAGAAATTATTTCTTTGATTGCCTGCTGCCCAATGTTGTTTCACAGCGATGTTTCAATCAATCCATTCTGGAGTCCAATAAAACTCAGCTGATTAATCACAGCGAAAAGTGTCTGGGACAGCTATGACATTAATATTATCAAGGGAATGTAAAAGGGGATACTCACTCTTTGAATCTGGTAGCAGTGGATGATGCAGCAGAAAAGAGAGAGAAATAGAAGGGGAGAGAGAAACAGAGAGAGTGAGAGAGAGATTGGGATTATTTAGAGCATAAATCACACAACATCTTTTGTTTCCAGAATTTATTTACTCCTAATTTATGAGCAAAATTGTGCAATTGCTCTTTATTAAAGTCATTTAGCAACAGATAATAGTGATAACGATTATCATTGTTCCTCCTCACCTCTTAGATCTCCACTCCTCTACTGGTTATTTGTATGTTTCTCAGCAGGAAAGGCTTAGATCCAATTTATGTGTGTATGCACAGCTGTTTAGAGGCATTTCAGGGAATTTAATGGCTTTCACGGTGGTTAGCTAAACAAACTATAGCGACTGCCCCTATGGAGCAGGCTGCTACGCTGAATCATCTGGGCCAATGACTTGCAACCTGATGATGACTCTGCTCAAAGACTCATATTAACCATAAATTATTTTAACAATTATCAACTTCTTTTCATTTCAAACCAAGATAAGGGGCTAACTTTGATCCTCCAATGGCTTTCAGGTTGTTTGTACATAAAAAAAGGCATTTCTTAAAAACTGTTTTCAGCTGTGGATCTATACACAGAGATAGAGGCTAAACCTCAGGCTACTTTGAAATAAACTGTGCTGCCTGAGTTTATCATGATAAATGAACACTATCGACATATACAACAGCTCCGCCAAATTGCATATTACCATTAGCTATATCTTGCAGCACTGGCTTCTCAGGTAATAACCATTAGTGGGATCAGATACTGTTAGCCAGGTCTATTTATGGATATTTGTTTATACATACTCCAATTAGAATCTGCAGATGTCATTCTGTCAGCGTTATTTTGGATTACACTGTCCGTTTTACTCCAATACGCACATATAAATTATACTTACTGTCTGTATGTTATAATGACAATTAAAATAGCAGGAACGCAGCAGATGATGATGATAACAGCCAAAGCCAAGAGTGCTCCCTCTGTGTAGCCAACTCTATGAACAGCTTTCTTTACGCTGGCCACCACTTCAGGGGTTCTGATTTCCAGTATTCTGCCACCAGGAGGAAGAAAAGGCTGGAACTCTTTATTGATATCCAACAGTTTACCATCAAGAAACCTTGAATTGAGAAATATGCAACATGTAATACAATCAGTTTATTTAATATCAAAAGAGACACTAGGGCTGGGGTTAAAATAAAAAACACATTCTTAAATAAATGTGCCTAAAAAAATAAAAAAAATAATTTAAGACATAGATTGACTTGTATATTGAAGTAATATAATTATTAGTAAATCATCATCACATAAAACTTAACTTGGACTATTGGACGCATACACTACGCCTGTCTGGGAGTTATTTCATGCAATATGACACCAATCAGACATAAAGATCTTTTCATGTGTACTCTCCAGTTACTTAGTATTGGAATAAAGTGCTTTGTCTCATAACTCAATCCTTAGTAAAATTCTTACTTGAAGAGCTCTTGTCTGGATATAGCTCTGTTTGTCAGCGGATCGATGGCATAAATCATGAGGTCTGACTTGGTGTAATCTTCCAACTCCATTGCTTCACCATCCCGATGGGGCCCAATAGTTTCCACGATGACCTTTGCCCCGACTACCTGCTCCTGAACATAGCGCTCCAAAATGCTGAAAATTAAAAATATATAGTTTACTTTTTATTAATAAAACACCATATTTTTGTGAGTTAAACAATAATAAATACGTTATCCCTTTTTTACAAATACAAATAAAGCAGTCATCAATGCTTTCACATTAATACATCTGTATGGACACAAGCATGTTAACACATGGTGAGAAGTTTAGATATTTATTGCTTTTTCAAAAAACATATTGAATGTTGTATTATTGTTGCTATAAATACGATTTTGGAATGTGGTATGAATATATACTGTATTGAACATATTCATGTTTAAACTAAATAATTTCAGATGCAAGTTTCTAGCTGAATTCTATATGGAGGACTTTTCTCATCCTATAGGACCAGAGACCAAATTAAAATCATAATCATAAAATGTTTATGAGAATACAATTAGGAGAAGAAAGAACAAAGATACAGTAACCCAAACTATACATGCATTACTTTTTTTTCTAAGTCAAGGTCATGTCAAAATTATTGCAAGATCACTTAGATTAACTCTACCAGAATTGGCAGAACTCATTTAAAGTATTTGGATTCTAGGCAAGAAACCTTACTCTTATGCATGGTCTATACATTTTTATATGTCCCTTTCCGGTAGCATCAGCCTATCCATTAAAAAATGTTTGATCTGTGTTTAGGACCACTGCAGTTCTGCAAAATCTGACTGTGTTAAAGTTATACCAATATAACATACAATATAATGTTACTTGTTCTAATACAATCCAGCAAGCACCCAGCAGCTCAGGGTGTTTAGGCATGTACTGTAGACATGGACATGGTGTTTTAAGTGACTTTAAGCATGGCATTGTTGATGGTGCCGGGTGCGCCAGGCAGAGTATTTAAGAAACTGCTGATCAATCATCTCTAGGGTTTATAGAGAATGGTCTAAAAAAAAATTCCAGTGGGGTGCAAATGCCTGGTTGATGCCAGAGGACAGAAGATAATGTCTGAGCTGATAGAAAGGCAACAGTGACTCAAATAGCTCTTTACAATCAAGGTATGCAGAAGAGCATATCTGAACAAACAAACTGCAAACCTTGAGATGGTGGGGCTACAGCAGTGGAAGACCACACTGCTGCCACTCCTGTGAGCTAAGAACAGGAAAATTATTGAATTTGGGCGGGCTCACCAAAATTGGACAATAGAAGATTGGACAACGTTTCCTGGTCTGATGAGTCTTGATTTCTGCTGCAACATTTGCGTGGTTGGGTCAGAAATTCTCATCAACAACATGAAAGCCTGAATCCATCCTGCCTCGTACTGTACCAATGGTTTAGGCTGCTGGTGGTTTAATGGTGGGGGGGATATTTTCTTTGCACACTTAGGGCCCCTTTACTACCAATTGAGAATTATATAAACACCACAGTCTATGAGCATCATTGATGACATGCTTATCCCTTTATGACTACAGTGTACCCATCTTCTGATGGGTACTTCCAGCATGCTACTCATACTGGTTTCTTGAACATGACTCTGAGATCATTGTATTGAAATCTCTGAAAACTGTTTCCAATACCTTGCTGAATAGTAGCTTTGCATCTAAGATCTGTAATGTGTTTTGGTTTAACCTATTCGCAGGGTAAGCAAAAAAAAAAAACAACAAAAAAAAACAACACAATTTTCCCTGGCTTCAGGTTAAAGCTTAGTTTGGTTACCATGCCACCCTCTAGTTTTCTCACACCTTTCTGAAACTATTCACATTCCATGCAGCTTCCTATCTCCAACTGTCACCTGCCTGGCCACTTTAACTCACCAAGGGTTAATAGAAATCTCCTCAAAATCTCTAGACCTCACAGCAACACCTCCCACTCAGACTCTCCAAAACATTCCCCTCTAAACCCGCTGTTCAAGCTCAGAACCAGTACATTTTTTCAGATTTTCTTGCACACCTTGATTAACTCAGTCTGCACCACTTCTCCTAAATGCCCCTCTCTATTCTTTCTACCTTCAGACATAGCTCAACCTCAAGTATAGAAGCCTCCTTAGTTGTAAATGAACTGTCTAGTCCTCGTAACTCAATCTTTATAGTGGCCTCCACTGGACTGAATATAACAGAGGGGTCAAGATGCTTTCTAATAACATGACAAGGAGACTGTAGATTTGTTTAGATTCAATGGCAAAATAAATTTTTGATGGTAGTAAAGGTGAAGCTTGTACATCTGGAAACCCTATACCAACATTCTGAGACCGATTTAACTGCCAGGGATGAGATGTACTATCTATGATAGTCTGGACATATATCTTTGCAAAATATATGCCAAAAGCTTTTATATGGCTATACAAAAAATGTTTTGTTTGTCTTCTGCTGGCGAATAAAAGATTGACCAAATAATGGTGGAAGTCTAGATGTTTGTATACTGAAGCCTCACTGGATAAGTTTTACCCCGACTGGATTAGAGAACATCCACAATACATGCAATCACTGAATGTTCAAAATTAATTAAAACGGGTTCTTGTACAACCCTAATTCTTAAAACAAGAAAAGTTCAGTTGCCTCATGAAAGCACAAACACAAAATATAAAACAGAGGTAATGCCAATAATGAGGTTATGGAAACTTCACAGTGGAACTGCATGCACACAACCTGTTAGACTGCAGCCACATGCCTACATATTTATCACCACCCGCTGGCTGTGCAGACTACTGCTGTTTGATACTGATTTTTTCCCTCCCTCAGAAACATCTGTTAACAACAGGACCTTCCCGACTGTGATGTGACTGAGAAAAAGGAAAAAAGCTTGTAATGGGTAATGGAACATAAAATGAAATTATATGTGGAAGGTAAAACAAAGCTGGAAGCTGACCAAGCAGGTGCAATGCAGTGTCTATCACAAAAGACCCACTGGTAGGAAGGAGCTTGAAGATATATGATGGCATATAATGAATAATACATGGTATGTTGAATGTAAAACAGGGTCTTTGCTTTCAAGATACAAGTAAAAGTATGTTTTCCAGACTGTGGATAGAGATAATTCTACATGAATTAAGTCAGAGCCTGGAAGGATATAAGTCGCAGTAAGGCAAAATAAGGTATCAAATATTTTAGCTTATACAAGTCTGCGGATAATGTTTCTGAAAATCTATGATAGTATGAATAAGTTTCAGAGGAGAGCACAGGATAGAGAATAAAGCGATGATAACGGGAGCATGCATAACAGCAACAGAAAAATGAGCAGAAAAAACAACTTGTTGAATTTATTTGAAAAGTAGCAACATTATACCCTTTTGCTTTGTGTCTCTCAGTTACAAATTGTGATTGTATTCCAGACTCATAAATGCTGTTTTCCATCCATCCATCCATCCATCCATCCATCCATCCATCCATCCATCCATCCATCCATCCATCCATCCATCCATCCATCCATCCATCCNCATCCATCCATCCATCCATCCATCCATCCATCCATCCATCCATCCATCCATCCATCCATCCATCCATCCATCCATCCATCCATCCATCCAGGGTACACCTTGGTACACTGGACAGGTAATCGCAAGGCAAGGCAAGACAGAGACGAACAGGACAAACAGCCATTCACACACACACACACACTCACACCTACAGTAAGGAGAAATTAGAGACGCCAATTAACCTAACAGTTATGTTTTTAGACTGTGGGAGGAAGGCAGAGTACCCAGGGAAAACCCATGCATGCACAGGAGGAAAATGAAAACTCCATGCAGAAATACCCCGGGCTGGGAATCGAACCCAGAACCTTCTTGCTACCCACTGCTGCACAGAGCAGCCCACTAAATGCTGTTATTTTTGGTTTTATTTGATTACTAATAATTCCAATATCTATTGCAATTCTTTATGTCTTTTATTAATCATCTAAGACCTTCTTAACAGTGTTGAGTTTTTCAGATGGAATGTTTATCTGTTAGAAATCCTCAAAATCAACTATTACAGAGTAGTGGCTTATTATAAAAATCAGCATTCAGTACCTGGCCTGTTGGTCAGAATTCCATCATTCACACATATTCTAGTGTTGAAAGTAACTATTAAAAATGTTATGTGTTTTGTTTAAGCATCTAGAGGAGTAGACATTCTTATATTCTTACAGTAGAAGAGAAAGATTTGGGGAGAGGAGGGTCTCATTTGGGGAGAGGATGGCCAACAGGAGTACAGAAACGCTGCTGTATTTTATTCTTCTAAGCTATAAATCTATTGTAGGGGTTGCAATGTTGGCAGCTGTTAAAAAGACTGAAATAAACTAGGATATTTAGAAAATACATAGAAAATACTCAGATTTTCTTAAAGTTAGTGCAGAAAACTTGGCTAATCACTTTCAAAAGGTATGAAAACAGTTTGAAAAATATGGCCTTGAAAGGTTCGAGTGAAAAACTAAACCTCTGTTTAACCAAGCCATTTGATGTGACTTCTCTCAATCTTTCAAGCACTCTGTGTAAAGTACTCAGCATGGGAAAATGACATCTACAGGGTAATCTTGTAGCAGGGTATTTTCAAACCATTTTACCAGCACTTTACAACCCAATAAAAAGGGTGACTTGACAGCGCCAGGTTTTTTAAAGTAATATTATGTCCTGATGTTCATTTTGTGTCTGTCACCCTGCTTCATCTCAGCAGGTAGGGAAATTGGCATAAAAAGGAACATTATTAAGTTTATGTGATTACCAAACTTATAAATACAAATTAAGATATGTGAAGGAATACACCTGTGTCTGTTCTATCTAGTTATATTCCTTTATAAGAGTCAAGGCTAAAACCAACCCAAAACGTTTGAAATGAAAGTGTTTGGTTCAGAGATAAAATTATATCTCTTGATATAAAAAAAAATTCTGGGATCAGATTGGAACTTTACAAATCCTGGACTGAAGTAACTGTTAACTTTAGTCTCAAAAATCCCGTTTTCTATTGTAATCAGGGCACCATGGCTTGTGGGTGACCTTTAGAAACAACAGTATACATCCTTTTCTCACCTTTAATTTCTTAGGATGTGCAAGCAAGAAAGTTAAATTATCACAGGGCTGCGGCAAGTTAAAATTTTCCTCTTTCCTCTGAAGGATGCAAGGATGAATAAAGTAAACAAAAATAATCGGTCAGCTTATAACTGCGTTTGAAATTAACACAATGAATATGATGATTTATAACTGCAACTTAGTATAAGCGTAGTTTACAGATCATGGTGTATGGATAAATTGGATTGTATGGAGTTAAAGACTTTTCAAAACATGGCTGTTTGATTTTGTTATTAGCTGGACGTGTTTTAATGTGCGTTGGGTACAGTTAATACTTTTTGAATATTTTCCTCAATAAAATGTAATTAATCAAATCATATAAAAAAAAAATCTGAATGATTTTACCACCACTGTTTTGGTTTTTGTGGACCTGTCAAATCATGAATTGACATATACTGAAACAGATTTTTGAGGTCCATAAGGATGACTTTGACCTTTTAAAACCTCTTTTCCTCTTTTTACTGTCCTTCATTCTTTTGTCATACACCTTATGTTATTCATTGAGCATTTTAAGACTCATAGTTTATGCAAATACATTTTTGTCTTTTTTATTGCTGGTGCTAAATACTAGCTTACATGTGGTAAATTGGTATTTTTTCTTAGATTGAATTAATGACAAAATGTAAATATAGTGCAACTTTAAAACAGGTATTCTGAAATGCAAGTGTGTAAAATTCAGTGTAAAAAAGAAAAAAATAAGAAAAAATAAAGCCTTCAGGAAATAGAACGTGAAATCAGTTATGTTTAACTGATATTTTTCTAAAACACATTGAAACACAGTCGGTAAAATACACTGAAACATTGACAGTACTGCCCATGCATGTCAGAACTGTCAGATAGACCTCAGTAAGGTATGCTGGGTGCTATGAAATTATGAAATATAGACACTGAATACTTCTAAAATATAAAAAAGGTTCTTAATGTCAAAAGCATAGTGAGAAATAAAGCATTGATTACCTGAGCAATTTCTCTTTGTTGTTCTCAACATATGTTGGTGGGACATTTGAAACAACCACCTGCATGTCGAGCTGGTTCACAACAGACACCTAGAGGTTGAAAAGAAAAAAAAAGACAACTTTACACATATTTAATATTTATGTAGATGCTTAAAATCACAACTAAGGCACCTTATGTATCTTTATTCTATCAATAACCTGGAACTAAACAGCTCTTAAACAAAATACTTATAACTGAAATGATACCAACCAGATAATGCTCATCATCAGACAGTTACAAGTTTGAAATATTTCGACTTAAATTAGAAACTGTTTTGAATACATATCATCGTCAAAGCTATTCATACTAAATCAGTGTAAAAAAATAAATTACACACACACACCACTATCTCAGCTTTGCTGCTGTGTCCTTTGCCGTAGTTGTCTGTTGCAACCACCTCAAATTTGAAATACGACCTCCTCATGTTGCGGTACATAATAGCCGTCTTCACCACACCGGTGTATGGTTCAATGACAAATCCGTCTTTGCTGTCTTTAGTTTGTTTTCCTGTTGGAGGGGGAATGATCAGTTTGTAGATCATGGAGCTGTAGTTACCAGTGTCTTTGTCCAAAGCCTAGAAAATCAGAAAAAAAAGGATTTCTAATGTTACCACTTCTATGATTATCTTGATCCTAACCTGTGCACAATATCACAAACAACAAGTAGTGTCAATTTTTATTAACTAGTTAATAAAACTAGACCTAGATCATGAACTTATATGGTATTCTGAACAGCTGATCATCCATTGAAACATTCAGTAATTAAGTCAGAAATAACATGCCCCCCGCCCCTTGTATAGCTTCCCTGTCAAAATCATATTTCTTATACAGTATTTTCTTTTGAAAAATTTCAGGATGCAATAAAGCTTGCTCTCTTGCACTTGTTTAACTACGGAAAGGCAGTAGGGGGTAAGGTGATTCTGCAAGCAGATCCATTAATCTGTTCTGTCATTGTGGCTAACTATCAGCTCCTGCCCAGACATGCTCAGACAATGATTTATTGCAAGATGTTGCAGAACAGAAATGCATATTGCATACAAAGCATGGAAAAACGTAGCCCATTAGAGGCACCACAAGAATTAAACATACTTTATTTGTGTTATGATTAGGGACAAGGGAAATTAAAATGATGCGGACAAAAAAAAACTGACAAAGTTGCTATAAGATATAATTAGATGCAACTCCGGTCTCTTGGAAGCAAGACTACAGTTAGCTAATCTCTTGTTTTGCTATGTTATATAAATTCTCTGCACTACAGTGTACTACATCATATAGTGTTAAGCTATACATACAATGATCTACTTTATACTACAATATGCACACTATTAACTAAGTAAAATAATTCTACTGTATAACTTCACACTACATTACACTTTGCTGAGGTGTATATCATTAAGCATGATATAGAGCTACAGACATTTTTAAAGCTCCTTCTTACTTTTAGAGTAGTCTTTTGACACTTTGTACAATACATTAGGAATCTGGATGATCCTTTGATTAAATTGCTTTAAGAAATTCAGGTACCCCCATATAACAAAGCAGAAATCTGGATCCTCTGTCATGTTTTATTTGCATATCATTTGCAGATTACGTATTTGTTGGTTTTACCAAGCCTGTCTTTATTAAATAAAAAAGTAGAAAAAGAACAATGTATTTCAAGAACAGGTTTTAACATATGATCTAAAGAAAATCATCAGAGGAAAGGCTCATGTGAGCTTTTTAATTTTTTAATTTAATTCCTGCCTTTTTTGCATTTTTTGTTCCAGTGGTATTCACTCTTTCACCCAAGAAGTCATTCTCAGTTTACAGCCAGTGGCAGAAGGTGAAGTAATAAAAATGCCATATGTGTCTGATACATAATATTCAAAATAATTGACACGGTAGATAATTGCTTTGCTTTCGCTGTTCTGCTCCCGGACTGACCTTCTGTGCAAAATAAACCAGCAACAATCAGGTGAACTTTTGTGCTAAAACCAATAACTACCTAAAGAGAGACGCTTGGATTTTATATGGTTGTATTTGTGTAACTAAAGTGAGTATTTTTCCAACACCTTTTCAGTATTAAAACATATCTAATTATAGTTATTAAAAAAAAAAAAGTTTTGCAAATGCAATATTTTTGCCAGTGATGAAAAAACCCATTTCACTGTTTAAGAAAATTAGAATACTAAGAAAAGTTCATTGGAGATTCACAATGTCGCACCCTAATCAGTTAATTAATTTAAGACACCTGCAAAGGTATTCTGAGTCTCTCACTCCGGGTCAGTAGGCTGCACAACCATAGGATGGACCTTTGTCTTGACAACTGTCCAGGAGCCTGTCATCGACACCCTTCACAAGGAGGGTTAGCCACAAGAGGTCACTGCTGAAGAAGTGGGTTGTTCATCAAATTCTGTATTCAAACATCTTAACAGGATATTTAGTGAAAGAAAAAAGTGTTGAGAAGCTGCACTAGCAATGGGGAGGCCCTTGATAGAGCCTTTAGAGGATTTTCAAGCGAAATCCTTTCAATAATATGAGGTAACTTCACAAGAGGTCAATTAAAGCAAGAGTTAGTGAACCATGAGCCGATGCAGACAGATAACTACAAGATAATGTCAGAAACATCTTCATGTGTTAAAGAGAAAGGGAACTGGACTGCTGAGACAGTCTTAGCCAAATACTAAGTACCTACAAATGGACATAGTTTTCTGACACCTGACATTTGTACCTTAATGATATTTTTTTGTTGATCTAATGCTATATTCTATGTTTTTTTAAATAATAGATTTGTGTTTTCTTAGGGCTGACTAATATGGCTAAAAATCTCTAATTTTTTTTCTGATTAAATCCAATTAATATATTTCTCTGCTCATATACTATACATCTCATATTAAGAAAGGACAAATGGCATAGAATTACTTTCAAAAACTTAAACGATTACCATTATTCAAAGTGTCCTTCCAATGAAAACGATTCAAACAACAGAGTTGTTTGGCGGCATAGTTTAAGCTGCCATGTATTACTGCAAAGGCAGGAGTCATGCTGAAAAATGATCTAACTTATGATTATATAATTTCAACAATCTTTGTCAACTAAAGAATTGTGTCTTTGTTAAAATTTTCATCTTTTTTCACTCAAAAGAAATTTGTGTTTTCCTGACATCATTAACTCAGGATAATTGTTATTCAGCTGACATCTAACCAACCCAGAGATGTCACCTTTGTCTTCTTCATGGTTTTATATCTGTGGAGACTAAAAGCAAGTCTGCCAGCCTTGGTTTGAAGCCAACAATAGTTCATTCCACAGAGTAGGAAATCTACACAAAAGGAAATCAATTTGTGACAGAGTCCTAAAGCCTCTTGAGCTATAGGGGAGTAGTGTCTTCGTGTTGAATTTCTTAAGTGTGAACCTGGTGTATTTCAACATGCAAAAACATCTATATTCTTCAGTAAAGGGAACACCACATGATGCAGCCTGCCATCTCTAAATCACAAATAAGATATTTTAGAGGCATAAAATATAAAAAAGTGAACCATAGTTAACCTTTTATTCCAATTAAAAGTGGTAAAGTAATTCTTAAACACACTTTGTGAAACAAAATTACTTTTTGCTGCTTTATATAGAGGACAAGGTAGCATCTGCAATCTGTTATCTCACACTAATCTCACAGCAGATGGTTTTCTTGACCCAAAGATAGTTTTTAACTAGAATATTTAGAACACATGGCAGCTTGCAGGTGATGAAGAAATGTTTAACAACTAGAAGATGAAAAAATAAGCAATCCAATACTACAGCGGTATTAGATAGGATAGATATTCTGAATGCAACTTTTGTTGCCCTCCCTCCCTGTGACTTTAGGTTTGAAATATTGTTTAAAGAGATTATCCAGGGCTGAACAACATTTTATTGAGAAAAATAGAGTTTGAGTAGGGGGAAGAAATATCAACATTTTATCAATTGCTATACTAAAGGGTAGAAAAATCCTCACATATAAAACGCACTCAATATGTGTAGAAAAACACACAGTTACTATATGGATTCCTAACAGTAAAAAATGAGTCAGAGGCTTGGAAAAAAATGTGTACTGACTTATAAAGGGCATTAAGACTCAATGCTGATCAGAACAAGAGCAGAAAATACAAAGTTTCTCCAGTTTAGCCAGGATTTTAGTGATGTGAATTACTGTAGAGCTTTGCTCACTGATACAGTAAATGATATGTAATTATTGTGGTAAGTCATAGATAGGCTGGTGAAGATTGTCAGTCATCCAGGTCATAGTCATTCCAAAAAAAAGTTAAAAATAATCGACTGTACTTTGTTTACCAAATTTGGAGACGTTTCCCTTCCCAACCACAAAGCTTTCTCAATTTAAAATGTCTGGAGTAGCCTTGAGTTCCAGGCTTTATAGAGGAGCCCAAAAAAAAAGCCCCAAAAAAGCCTTGTTATGGCATGCAAATTGAACCGAAAACAGGTCCACCCCTTTGTAATGGGGAGTTGTTAGGGTCGTTATTGGTTTGGCTTAACAGGAGCCCAACGTTTCTCCAGACATTTTGAATTCCGGATAGAAAGCAAAACGTCTTCAAACTTGGAAAACAAAGTCCAGTGGTTTGTCTTTAGCTTTTTTTTGGAATAGATAGGCTGTTCTCAGTGTTTATTTTTAACCCTCCAAAGGATGCCAGTTTGTAAGGTCTCTCAGTTATTAGTCCCCAACAGCTTTTTTTTCCTCATCTCTTAATAGATAAACCAACTTTCAACAATTCAAATTTGACCTGGAGACCTTGCTATCTCTTCGCTTGTGTTATATGGCCACTTGTTATCTGTTAAAGCCTAAGTTTGGCACTGCAACCACAACACCGTCAATCTTGTGTAAGTATTGGCAGCATTAATTTCTGCCACGTGCACGTTTACACGTTTATTAGGATTTCTCTGTTTTTTTTGTAAAATAATCTTTTTTTTTTTAAGCATTAACTCAAAAAGTTAGGTATGAATAATATGACATAAACCTTAAAGGTAATCCGTTATTATTCTGCTATCCAAAACACAGTGGCTTTAAATTGAGAACATGTAGAGTATAATCAAATTGTTTAATTTTCATAAGGCAGCCTAACAAACAATGCTGTTCTACAAATATGCTTACCAGCTTTGGGAAATAATAGACACTCAAGATGTGAGATAATTGGGTGATACTAATTATCACAAAAAGATAATCAAGAAGCACTTAGACATCGCCTTCCTTCTGCCAGGTCAGATGAAAAAATTCATAGCCTCAATTCCAGATCAAAATGAAAACCTAATTGCCTCTCAGTTGGGTCATAATCTTCACTGGTAAACAATTCATGTTAATTAATTTGTTTTTTTTATAAATGCGTCCTGACAGAATTGCATTAAGAAATGTAAAAAGCCTGCATGATGGAGATAACTAGTTACTACAGAAGTGCTGTGATTTACTGCATTTGTAACATGAAAGGGACTTTTTCTATTTTAGGTTTTAAATTAAACAAGTCTTCAGGTACATTTCCTTTGTCGTTCTGGTTTTACTTGTTCGTCTATGTACTCTTCAGGTATTTAAATGTTTTTTTTGTTTTTTTTTGCTTTTGCTCAGCTGGTGAAACATAGCTCATTTTTTCTTTGCAAGAAGAAAATATACTTCCTACCTTTACAAACAAAAGTTTGGGATGTCTTTACTTTAAGACTTTGACAAATCAAAGAAAATGGACTGCTGACTCACCAAACCTTAGATTATTTGGGATAAAGTCAACCTGAGATAAAACAGCCTAACATTATGTTCTAAATGTAGCCTAAATTTCTGATAAATCATCTAAAAGAAGTGTCAATTTACCATCTTTTACAAACCTTTGCACCCCAATCCAAACTACTCACTGTACCTTTTAAAGACCATAAATAAATAGAGGAGCACTATATGCTCTTGACTTCCCTTTGGGTAACTGCCAGATTCGAGAAAGCTGGTGATGTAAGTAGACCTTATAACAATTCTTGTTTTAGCCTCCTGATCTTGACCTGTCTTGTTCATGTTTTTCTCCCGCCTGCCTTGTCCCTGTCATTCTTGTTGGCTTCTGATCTCTGGACATCGACCTCTTGCCTTGCCTCATGACCAAGTCTGTTTCCCTTTGTCCCTGTCTGGATTGTACTTTCAATCATGTATGACCTGAGCCTGGACCTCAGATCTGCTTAGGCCCCAGTCTCTCTAGAAACCTCTGCCTAGTTAGTGTGTCTCCTATTACTGATTCTGTAGGCTTAATATTTGTATTACATTCTTGTTTAGCCTTTCTGGATACCTCTACCTCGTGGACTGCCACTTTATGCTTGATCCTTGGATTGAACTCTATCCAACTATGTAGACTATAATTCAAGTCTGCCGATTTTGTCTAGGCATTAAAGCTCTCAACTGAAAGAAAAAAAGTCAATGACACACTAAGCACCATGTCTTTTAAACTATTGTTAAATCCAGCATTGAAAGGTGATTCCAGAGCATTGTAATAACATAAATTAATAGTGCATAGCTACGAAATAGGATACATTTAATAAATAAAAAGTATAAGAGTATGCTTTCTCAATCCCAGCTCCCACAGTAGGCCTTATTTCTCCAGTTTTTCTCTTGTCTAGGTGGACTTAAAGAATGAAGCCTTCATTGTGCTAAAATAGATTACTTGTTCCCTGGCAGCAAGAAGGAGGACAAAGGGGTGCAAGTACAAAATGGAGACTTGAGAAAAGCCTGCAAACCCTTCATCAGTTTCACTAGAGATGTTAGAAAAACAAAAAGAATGTTCTGTGAGAATCGAAGTAGAATTCAAAAGCATTTTATTTTTGCTACACTGTTTCATTCGGGAACTCTAATTTCTTTAGTAGAAAAGTTAAAGCTAGGCTTCAAAAGATGAATGTTATTTCAGAATATGAACCAAAATCATTCTAATTAACATGTCAATTTGCTTTGAACAAATATATTAAAGACAATTATTACATAAAATAAGGAAATGTATAAAATGTTACATTTGAAGTGAAGCAAAATGAGAAACAATATGCCAATCTAAAGCATTTAATATTCTAATGTTGAAAAAAAAAAAAAACCCTCCAAGCATCTTGGAGGGAATTTTTAAGGACAAAGGAGCACTTTAACATTGACAATATCAAGGCATCCATTTTGGATGGATCGAAGACGGACCCTAAAAATTTTCAACAAGATAAAAATATTAATTTTGACATTTTAATGGCCTAAATGTTCATGTGATTCTGCAGTATGTCATGAAAAAGCAGTGACTGTTTCTACCATGTCTGAGCTTGGTCCTATGTGATAAGGCTGTCATTAGGAGCAGGAGGATGGAAGTTACATAAAAGAGATATTAAAGTAGAAGAGCAATGCGTAAATCCTCATTAAAATGACATTTGAGCTCTTGAGGGTTCATGGTCAAATAAGTCATTCTTCCCATGTCTTTCACAAGTAGACATGAGTATGCATTGAAATACAAGAGCAAAGCTTGGATGATGTGTATTATTGTCCCCACAGCCTGAAGGTTAACTGTTAAATTGTCAGGTATAATGACCTCTCCTCTAAAAAAGAAAATGTCCCCATGCATGGCTAGTATGTGTTAGTATAGATGGACTAATTGGACTCCATTGATCAAAATCTCATGTAGTTTAGTGCACGAAAATGATTGAAGCAAAATTCTCAGCATGAAACCATAAATATACTGGATAATTCTTGTAGATGATTAGTGTTTCCAAATCTTGCATTTTACAACCACAATCATCTCCATTTCTTAAAACTTATTATTTGTAATAATTATTGTGACCACAGCTATGTAAATTCTAACATGACTTAAAAAAATGTAAATGTAAATAAACAAATTGCTATCCTAACGTGACTTTTTGCTTAAAAAAATATTGCACAGAAGAGCTGGATTAAATCATGCTTTCTTCTGTAGCAATGTCTCAATGAAAAAAAATAAATCCTAATAAAGAACCAGACTCCAAAAATAATGTTTCACACTCTTACAATCATGTACAGCAAAGTTGCTGAAGCAGATCCAATTTCCCTTTCTATTTCCTCCAAAGCAATTTTCCATGACGGCCCATGTCAGAATTTGCTCTTTCTCAACCTGCCAAAATGTTCTCCACAACAAAACTACACTTTTAATTGCATTTCAAGATTGTGTTATAATTCTAAAATGGCATTGCTAAGCATTAAAAAAAAGAAGTTACAAACTGTCAATATAGTATTGGCTGAAGACAGTCATAGTACTTAGCAGATACAGCTCAGATTCATTTAAGAAAAACAATATTTTAAGCGCAACATCCATCTTGCTGTGAAATCGTGAGTTCAGTTATTGCTGTTGGAGAATGTTGTTTTGCCTTCCTGTAGAGAGCGGTTTTATTCAAAATAAAATAAATACTGCTTTTGATAAAATGTTAATAAAAATTCCATTAAATTAATATTGCCATAAAAGAAACAAAATAAATATGCTAAAATTATTTTTATGTTATTTTATTATATTTCAAGATTTTTTATCTATTCAAATTTCGTCATCTATTTCGTTATGGAGTACTATCTTGTGACACTTTTATTTTGTAAACCTTCTTTGCCTATTCTGTTAATTTTTTTAACTCTGTTTTACATTTTAAGCTCCTTTTATTGTGTTTTCATATATTCAAATAAGAGGGCAGCGCTGGTAAGAGTTCATTGACTCAAGATGTGAAAAAATATCGATCAGGAGAAGAAACTAATGGAAGCCGATTTTTGGCAGCATTTTGCTGAATGCATCTGATCTTTCTAGATTTATTCAGCTGATTTACAATCTATGAAAACAGAAACATCTCAGACTTATTCGGAGAATAATTTCACTCCTATGTGCCTGGTCGGTCACAGACATAGGATTCTATGTGACTTCCGATTTTGATTCAAACATAAGTATAGTCTTTTTCAAGTTTTATTCTTTTTTATTTTGTTTTAAACTTATGATATATATTGTATAATCTAAAAAAGGTAGACTAGAAAAAACTAAAATGTAGATACAAACAGTGTAATCACATTTTGCCGGACTGATCTGAGCATGGCCAATGATGACATTAGACAAGCAGTTTAACAGAGAGAATGTTAAATTATCTAATTGGCTAAGAAAAGTCTTTAATTTTTAAAAGAATATGTAGTTAAGCATTATTTTGTTATTTAAGCATGGAACGTATACTTTTAGTACCATAATTACAGGATGGTAACCTGTATGAATATCTGCTTGCACATGCACCAATCAGAATGGAGTTTTGGACACATGATATTAATCTGGCATTTATGACCTAACACCCAATAAGATTTAAAGGTTTCCTCCATTTATGTCTAATATCTATGTCTAAACTAATGCTTCCATAAATAGAAATACAATAAACTACAAATTCAACTTTCCGCTATATAAATTTTGTTGTTTTTTACCTTTTAATCTTCTCTTGTTTAGTACAAAAATAATGTTTTGTATTTGCAACAGGCTAATGTAGGGAACTCCCTTTTCTCACAAAACTAAGAATCTGAAAGAGCTACAGTCTGGTATTTCAGTGTCACTGTGCAAAGTCTAATAAGGCAGGATTGATGTTAAAGATAATTAAACATCAAGGCCCAGACTTTTGTGCAAGTGAATTCAATCGAGTCTTTTGTGGAATCCAACTTAATTAAAACATATTGCTTATTTAAAGATAGAGCTTGAAAGAAACATGCTTTGTGATTCCCTTTGGATCCTGAAAGGTGTTTTAATGAGACTGGAATCACTCAAGCTGTTCATGGCTATTTGAAGTTCCTTGTAGATAGGCAAAAGGGAGCTATTTTCCAGCAGCAGATAAAGAGAAACAAGTGGTGATATTATCAGCTAATCCTGTTAGTTACTGTGCATCTGAAAACCTCAAATACAGCGACAGAAAGCCACACAGGGTCTGCAAGCAGAATTGTAAATTGTAAAAGCACTTTATATATTTACCTGCACTTGCAAGACTGAGGTGAAAGTTTTGGCATCCTCTGCAACTCCTCCAATGTAAAGAGATCTGGTGAACACTGGTGGGTGGTCATTCTCATCCTGGATATCAATCACCACCCTAGCTGTATTTGCTATGAAAAAAAAAAGAAAAAGAAAACCGGTGAATACACTTATTTTTCAGACATAAACAAAAGTAGGCTCAGGTGAAAGATATATGAAGTTACTGAACAAATTCAACCTGAGGCACATATGAAGACGTCAACTTAGATTTTTGGAAAGAAAACTACACTAAAAACAGTTTAGTTTAATTTTACCAATCTGATTAGTTGTTATGTATCCACCCAATCCTTTGGTTAAACAACCAATCACATTTGGTAGTGTTTTAACCAATCTATAATCGTAAAAGGGTAAACCAATACAAATTGGTCACTTTGACGAATATATGTTGGTTAAGTTCTGTAGTATAGCAATTAGACACTACTTTATACTAATGTTACAACCAAGGTTAATGCCAGGTGCCATTAGCCACTAGCACGCTGTACAGTATATGTCCACATCACGGTAATTGATCTCTAGGTCCAGAAATATTACACACTCTGACTACAGCTAAACAGTCAGATTGGTAAACCATCTGTTGCCATTTTTATGGTTAACCAATTGAATTGTTTGATAGGAAAACAATGGCTTGGTAAGTTTCTGAGCAATATATTGGTTAATCTAACCAAAATTGGTTTAACCAACTAGATTGGTTGTTTTTCCCAACCAATCTATTCTTAGAACGTAGCACAGGCAACTTTCCCTGTAAAAGCTGCTTTCATGGCAGGTAGTTGAAATATAACAAGCAGACCGGTTATTGATCTTGCTTTAAAATAATTTTTTTAAAGCTTAATACAAGTTTAAATAAATATGATGATTCTTTGGGTCAAGCTGGCTTGGATGATTACTGCTAAATTAAAAGATTTCTTTAGCAAGAAATTCACAAACTCTAAGGGGAAAATATCTATTGAATAGGCTATAATATTTAATGCTCGTATTGGGTCATCAATGTATATTAGTCATTTTTACATATGTATAGTAAATTAGTTTTGCTGTCCATGAAAAGTGCTCATTCAGAGTCAGTTTACTCTTAAAGTGTGTCAGCCTTTTCATCCGATTAATTAAGGAATGCTTTGTTTCTTATACAACTGTTGTGAGTGATACCTTCAGCAGACGCGCTAAACAATATGCAGAGTTAAGAACGTCTGGTTTGACTGTCCTCCTGACCGTCCTTAATTCTTCCAAGATTTATTCAAATTACAATTTCAATTGATTATCACTGATCTGCTATGGTAACTGAAGTCATTTATCAGCATATTTCTATTTGCTATCAGACAAACCAATAATTAGTTGAATTTTTTATTAACACAATCATTAGTGGCTAATTTATAGGTTATGGCTATTCAGACATAGCAGAGCCATTTAGCCTTTTAATGCTACTTTAATAGCATGAATTGTACATTACCTCAGAAATAGTCTATAGTGTGTAATGCATGTTAGTAACATGACATTTAGTGATCTCACTATAACTGGGAAATATGCTTAACTGATACTGAATTTGTCAGTCCTTCAGATTTGGATATTTCTCTGTACCAAGCACTTTGAAATATGTTGGAAGCCAGTATTAAAAGTCAATTATTGTTTCAATCATTATGTTGGATTGGTTTTCAAAGTTCATGCACAGAAAACATTATTATTGAAACAAAACGTATTTAGAGCTTTTGTGATACAGCCAAATTCACAGAAGAGGAAAGAAAAGAAAAGAAAAGAAAAGAAAAAGCAATATCTTATGATTAATAAGTAATGGGAACTTGGAATGACTTGCTTCTCCACTCAAACATGGAAATTTGATCCATGCCCATGTAAAGCTGCCCCATAGCCCATTAAAAACCCCCAAAAAACAATAAAACTAAGAATAAAATTACAAATTTGTATAAATTGAAATTAATTTGAAATGACAATTTTCCTGAAACACATGAAAACATTGATAAAATCATTATTAAAAAAAACTTAAAGCAAACTCTTTAAAGAAAGCACAAACCAAGAAGATGATACAAACATCAATATAAAACATCCTCTAGACAGAATGCTGAAACATTTATGCAGGGGAAAAAAAAGCAGTATTAGCAGAGTCCTATTGATTTCCTTGCCTGATGAGAGCAGGAAAGAACTGGAAATTTGCAAATGACACAATGATTTGTTGCTTTAATCCCAGAAGAAATTTTGAATTCAAATCGCTTTAATGAAATGAGAACAGCATGTGGTAAACACTATAATTAAGGAAGATAAGTGAAAGCTCCCGAGCCGAGCTTCAATTATGAAGAACAGAGATATGAAGTGAAAAGCAAAAGAGGAAAAAGGACATAAAGAAGGAGACCAGTAGAAAAAGGAAAAATGGGTAAAGAGATTGAGACTAATTAGATCCATTTACACATTAGCTCTCATCATAAATATAAGCAAAAGTTTTTTGTTTCCCTTTAAAAGTGCAAGTAAAGGAGTTTGTAAGACCACAATGTTTAGCTCAACAGCATCAACAGTAAAGCTTGCTTGGAGACTTAGATATTTAAGTATATAGATGTTAAAAGCAGTAAGGAAATACAAGCCTCATAAAGCAACAGTAAAAGCAAGAAGCATCTCATTTATAAAACATGAGAAGCTGTAATGTTGCCAAATGTTTGCCAAAGTATAATTGCCTAAAAAAAGCCAATTACTGAAACCAGTAGGCTTGTCTAGATAGAAAAGACCAACCAGTTTAGCATGAACTGCTTTGAATTTGGACTGAGTCAGACTGTATGTAATTAGATATGAATTTGTTAATTCAAACTGCATAAAAATTGATTCACTCCAATTGCATTTGCAACAAAGTGGGCTCCATATGATTGGAATAGTGTCGGACCTGTCAAATACAGGGGTTTTTGCTTTAACGAAATGTCGCAAAGAGCCATAAAAATATCCATATTAAGACCCACTATAAGTTATGTAAAATGAAATTATTAACAGTTTAATTAGAATAAAATTAATGATTAAAAAATTATTACAACCAACCCTGGTATTTAAAAGGATTCTTTTCTACTTTTCCATATAATTTTTATTACCTAAACAAGTTATATGATCAAACTAAACAAATAATCCCCAACAAATCAGTAAACTTACTACCAACTTATTTAAATGTATTCATTTAAATACCATTCCTTAGAAATTGGTAGTGTTGCCTCAAACTGTTTGACTTAGGTTAAACATTTTGGGTATCCATTCCCCCATACACAACTGCTTTAACTACATCTGGTTTGTAGGGGTAAAATTTGGCAACAGGTAATAACTGGGGACTTTTTAAAGGTATAGAGGACAATCTTTTATTTCCGGGTGGATCATCTAAATAAGTGGTCCTCCTTATTGTCAAGCATTCTGGTGATATGTTTACGTAAGTGCGACCTACGTGCTCTCCCCATTAACTCTCTTTTTGTGTGCATGCGCATTTTCAGCCGCATATGTGTGGTGAGCTACGGTTTCAGACAGTCATCGAAGCTCACCTTTCTCACCGCGGTTCTTTGAAAATGGCCGCTGGTCTTAAGAGAAAAAGTGTCTACGAAGTCTATGAGAAGAAAAGAAATCCTCAGAAGAGGCAGATATATCCCAGAATGCTTTGCACTGAGATCTTTCCTGTGACAGCATTTGCTGTCACAGCGGCCCGCTGTTGCCATAGGCTGTCGCTACCCGACAGTGGTGACTAATAACAAAGATGGCGAAGGCACCGAGCAGTGGAGGCGGAGTTGCGTAACCAATGGGAAACAAAAAACAGTGATCATCTGTCTGAACGGTCAGTTGAATAAGTTTGCTATAAAGTCCAATATATAGTCCCTGCTCCATATAATGATTGAGGGATTTAGGGGTTAGGGTGGATGTTCGGACACAGTATGCTTATATCAGCTATGAGAACAGCAAATGGGCTCATGCATGCTCTTGCATGTGCATTTTTTTTAAAGTGGAAAGGGCGGGTCTATGAAAAAATCCTCACAATACCTTTAAGTCCCCTGGTCTGCCTATGCAATTTTACCAATTAAATCACAGCAAGGTTGCATTACATCAAACCTGAGAGAGGATGTGTTTACGTCTATTAAACTTTTAATACTAGTTCCAATCTGATTACAGAAAAAATAAAACAAAGATAAAATAAAACAGGCAAAAAATAAAAATAAAATCATTCACTGTGAGCTGAAATATATTTCTCCTTATAAATGAAAATAAAGAAGCATAGTAAAAATTTAATAGATTAATCCACTTTTAGAAAAGTGCAATGCTTCAGCCAACAGTTCAACTTACACTTTGTGGGAGCTCGAAGGTTTGATGACACCACTCTCATGGAGTCTGCTTCAACCTTAAGAACATAGCTGGAATTGGTTTCATAGTCCAGAGGCTTGGCTGTGTATAGTTCCCCAGTTGTTTCATTTAATGAAAACACATCTGTGGAGAATAAAGCAATACTGATTAAAAAAGTGTTTTTGAAAGGAGGGAATGGCTTGAGAGTGAGCAGTTTGAAAGAAAGCTGTGCAATCTGGTCTGAGCTGTTGTCAGAGACGTTTGACCAGAGAGAGACCTGTGCACTGGTCAAATCTCCATAGGAAAACTCTAAGTGCACTCACCTTCCTCATTCCCTTCAATGATGGAATACACAATGGTTTGATTGACGGCTGCTGCCATGATGACTCCCACTGGGGTTCCAACAGCAGCCTCCTCACTCACTGGTGCAAATCTAGGAAAAGATAAGTCAGTAAATATTAATAGATCGTAAAAATCCATGTGATGATTTCTGGCCTACATTTTTTTTTGAAGAGGAGTTGAGAGAGATAGATAGATAGATAGATAGATAGATAGATAGATAGATAGATAGATAGATAGATAGATAGATAGATAGATAGATAGATAGATA